AGCCAAGGGAAGGCATGGGGATGTGGCCTAATATGCTAATGAAGTGCATTGTCAGGGTGTGGCCTAATATACTAATTAGTTTCTGCTGTTGGGTGTGGCCTATTATGCTAATTAGTTCCTGCTGGGCTTTTTCTACAAAAAAAGCCCTGATTATTTTCATTTTTCTCCCTTTACATACATCTAGCATTGTGTACAAATTAAGAAAGTAAACATTTCCTTTTCAGTCTTTTCACCATACCGCTCCTTAGCTATATTTTTATGGCAGAGTCAATCATAATCTTCGTAAAGGTAAAGGTTCCCTTGCTCGAAAGCCAGTCAAATCCGACTCTAGGGTTTCGGTGCTCATCTCCGTTTTAAAGCTGAAGAGCCAGCGCTGTCCGAAGACGTTTCCGTGGTTATGTGGCCAGCATGACTAAACACCAAGGCGCACGGAATGCTGTTACCTTCCCATCGAAGTGGTACCTATTTATCTACTTGCAATTTCTTGCTTTCGAACTGCTAGGTTGGCAGGAGCTGGAACTAGAGATGGGAGCTCACTCCATCATGCGGCACCCAGGTCTCGAACTGCTGAACTACTGACCTTCCACAGCCTGCAGTTCAGCGTCTTAACCATTTGAGCCAGCGCAGCTCCTTACACCTTCTTACACCTCCTCAAAAAGGATGTATAATACCATTATTAAAATTGTGTTGCTTTCCATCTTTGTGTTTTTTCTCCTCAGTTCCATTATATGTGCTCCTGGTATGATCTTCCTCTTCATCCGTGCCATATATAAAGGCTTAAGAAGGACTTGCATAAAAATCCAGTTCACATTTTCTGTTTTATATAATAGTTATTGTTTGATTGATGATTGATTTGAATCAATGTCAGATTGTAAATGCCTCCAGGGCTCATTTCTTTCTTATGAGGATGTTATGCAGCTATGGCAAACAACAGCAAACACTTGATGAACAGAAATATATTAGATTCATGGCCTTCACCTTAATAGTTCAGCTTTCAGAAGGGAAAGAATAGAATAATTTTGTATGGTTTGTAATAAGAAAAACCCCTCATGTTTTTTGCATTAAATTTATTCATCACATTGTTCTTTAGGTGTGGATAGATTAAATGCCTTACAGTATATTCTAATAACCCCAGGGCTGTGTATCAAAGTAAGAAATGGAAAATTTCATGATCAAAAGGTGGGAAACTGGCATTTTCTGAAGAGGCCCTCCACTCCATAGTTTCCTGAGAAATAAAAGGTAGCACTTTGTCCCTTATATGTACTTGCCAAATCTATAGGTAACCCATCCAGCCTAGAACCTGTAATCCTGAAAAATCAACTATCTGTCACAGATGGAGAAACAACACAAGGGTTCCTCTCCCTTTGAATGCTCTTCCTCTCCTATGCTAGAGTGTACATTATCCAGATCTTTTAACTGTCTGAGCAGAGCAGCATTTCCACAGCTAGGCTGTCTTTACCCCCTTTCCAGTCCCTATGCAGATAGCATATTATGCTATTGACACACATACACAAAGGGGCTTGAGGGAGTTATTGCTAAAATATAACTGTGGCACATAGATGATCATGTGGAAATACCCTCATGAGTTCACAGCTCAGCCCGG